ATAAATTTAGTACCCATCTAACACCATGCATAGTTATTATAATATTATTGACTCTATTCTCTATGCTGTACTTTATATCCCGTGACTATTTTTATAAGTACAAATTGCTAGTTATAAAAGAAAAAAAAAAGACATTAATTTTAAAACAAAGCAAAACAAAATACAACAAACAAACAAAAACCAAAACGCTGTACCAGCTAAACCACCTAAGTTGGCCAGTTGAATCTGGACAGCTTTATGACTCTTGTTGCAGAATAAGCTTGAGAAAGAAGGCACCTATGAAAAATTGTTTTCCTGTAAATGGAAACGAAGGCAGACCTGAGGGAGAGGTGTCGACAATGAGCGTCTTTGTTATATAACTGCACAGGGATAGGAGGTGTTGTGAAAGTTACACTAGCCTGGAGGCCACAGGCCCTGGTTCCGGAATTTCCTAGTTGTAAGCTTGGGATTAGTTATCCAGCTAAAACCTCCCTCATGAGGATGAAATAAAATAATCTATATAAATAAAATAATAATTTGAAAATGTCTTAACTATAAATTGCTATGGAAATATTAATTATATTCCTATATATATAACTGATGATTAGCAAATGCAGGTCCCTAACAAGATTATAGGGCACCCACTGTAGCTGTTTGTTGTTTCTTTCACTATCACCATACCAACTTCATGCAAATAGGAGCTAAACAAAAAGGCACACCTTTTTATTACAAGGTCACAGATTATATTATCGGCTTTTTAATTTAACTAGAATTCACTGTTGTCATGGTTTGTACCCCATGTGGCAAAAAGCTGGTGCTGAGCTAGATCTTTCTTTCCCATTATGTTGTCATCCTTTACCTGTGATATCATCTTTCTATGAAAAAGATGACATCAGATAATGAACTTGGTGAAACTTATTTGTCACATTTGGGAAAATGGACTCAAGATTTATTAGACCATATGTTGTGTGATTTTTCCATCCAAAAACAAAGGATTTAGTATTATTGGATTTGAGCATAAGGGTCATTCTTTGTTAAACAAACAAAAAGCAAATGTAAACCTTATTGATGGACATAGTCAAACAATTAAATGTCGTCTTGCTACAGATTCATGTTATTGGAAATGTATTGTGTATCTGACTCCAGATAATCAATTTCTCTGGGAAGCTGGAATAAGAACTGGTTTTGGTTTTGTTTTATTTTACCATGATAGGCCTAATTTCATTAGGTATGTGAAATCTTGTGGCCACCCCGGTTTTTTACTGTGAACTTTGTCCTAGTATAATAGTATTTTTATTTTCAAAAGGTTATTTCCTTCTTGAACGAGATTCTCCTCTATTAGCAAAAAAGCTATCTTGTGTCTGTGGAATCTTAAAGATTTTGTTGTAATAGCAGGTGAAAATTATAATTATTTATTCTTTACAATTTACCTTTTCTTTTATTTTTATGGTTTTTGTCTAATTTTTTCAAATTACAAGTCAGACTTCTTGAATCTCAGGCATTTGATTTTCATAGTCCCTTAAAAGTGTTTTATCTTTTGGAATAGTTTCATCTCTGCAGTCCATATACTCTATAATTGCCAAATAAATATTTTTTGACTCACGCCTGCAACATTCATCAACACTTCTCTATTTGTTACATTAAAGAAAAATTCTTTATTTCAGTGTAATGTGTAATGTAGAAACAAATGATTGTGTCTTGGGATAAGCACAGAGGAGTTTAGGAGATAACGAAAACTTAATTGAGTTCATTCTTTCCCAGAAATGCATTTAGACAGAAAGAATTATAGTTTTATTGCTTTTGCTGAACCTCATTGAATCCTAGGGTACCCCCTTCAGATTTCTTGGCCTCTTTTACAAATGACTTGCTTTCTTGATAGTCTTTAACAAGTCTGTTGTTATGATTTCAACTTCCCATGTACACAATAGTAAAATTAAATTGTTAAATCCAACATTTATTTAAATTGGTTATACATATCATATATTCAATTTAACTGGTGAAAAAAGATTAAAACTCTACATATATCTTTGTAAATGTTTTGAGACTATTAGAGAAGAGCTTGAGTCCTTGTTAAATGTTTTTCTGCATTTCCAGTTGTTTTTGAATCAGATGTATAACCTGATGATTTGCTAAATTTTTATTAAAGAAACAGGGTCATTAGAAAGCTAATTGCCTTGTGATATCTACACCAGATATTTTAAAGATCAGTAGAATACTTCAACAACCTAACCTGTTTCTGAGAAAATGAGACTTTGGCCTGGAGTAGAGGCTATAATCTGATTTTCACCTTGTCTGAATCAGGCCTTTAGCACAACTGGAGGCATATTCCTCAATTTTCTGGAGGAACGGCAGAAAATGGAACTAAACTTTGGGGGCCTACAATGGCATAAATATTCAGCTGGGAATGTGAAATTTTCCACCTAGAAACGCCTTGGAGTCCAGTAGCGCCTATTATTACCCTCTCCCCCCACCTCAATAAACCTGGACATTAAAAGAATTCTTATTATTAAGGTGTTAAAAGAATTCTTATTATTAAGATGTCAGTAACAGAAATTAGTCTAGTCACCTTTAGGCCAAACCTCCTTCCCACTTCCGATTTCGAGATAACCTAGACCTGAATCAGGATCAGCTTTTGTAAAGATGGCTTTTCAGGGTAACATGACCCTCGAGGCTTTCTTCTTCAGTGGCTGGTCTTTGACTATTTAAAGGTGACAGGCTCATTTAATTATTAACAGCAGTTTCAGTTCTGTCTGTTATTTTATCTCCACTGAAAGCCTGCTTTTCTGATGAGGGCTAGTGAGGGCATTAGCCAGGGGAAATCGATGTAGAAGTTACCATCATCCTGTCTGGGATATGATGAGACTTTTTTTTCTCTGCTCGCTACTTTCCATGTAGCTCACCCTTAATATCTCATGGGATTAAAACAATCTTTGGTAAAATAAAGAGATGGAGACTTGATCATAATAAAATCAAAATTGCAAAGGTGATAGATTGTCTTGGAGATAGTCCACTCTTAACAAATGGAAAGATTTAAAGTTTTCTCGCAGAAATATACAGTTAGGACATGCCAACCCTCAGCCTCACCATGATGTCAGAAGCAATGGGCAGAACTGGGAAATCTAGTTGGTGTTGGAGAAATAGAAAGGGCAAGGGAGATCATAGGATTTGAGGAGGTGAAATGGAAGAACCAGACAGAAGGGATTTCTGAAGCAGATTTTGTAAGGGCTGAAGTAGATTCCATGGAAAAGTTTCTTTTGGAGCCATAGACAAGTGCTTTCATTCACTTTCTGGGGTTGGTGTGTGTTCATGATCAGGGAGTTAGTTGTACATTGGCTCCATTTCTGATGATGGATGCACTTGTACATACAGACATTTCAGGTTAAACTGAGGTTACAAACAAATATGGGAAGATTATAGTTTTGTATGAAAATGGAACCTACCGGAAGGAAGAACTCATGTCTTTTTTTTTTTTTTCTTTTTTGGTGAACCACTAGAGTCAATATAATTGGCAAACCTATTATGAGTTCAAAACTCAACTATCTCCTTAAAAAATAAGAAGAGTCAGGTTTAGAAACTGTTTTGTAGATAGTCAGGATCCGTAATCAGAGTATACACTAGTTACATACTGTAATGGAAGACTCCTCACCCTGATTTGTAAGAAGCAGTTCTACTTCCGGAATAGTCTTTTAATTTAAAGCCAGCTCTAAACCAATGTGTTTTAAAGCGTAGTTCCTGGAATGCATTCATCAGGAATACCACACATGTTCATTAAAATGCATATTCCTGGGTTATACACCTGAGCACAGGAATGTGCGTTTTTACCGATCACTCAGGCTTAGTAAATTTGAAAACCTCTACTAAAGCTGTGCTAATTAGGTTTACCCACATTCACCCAAGTTCTCTCCTCTATTTCCCATCTGCCTTTGCAATTGCTCTTGTGTCTACATTTAAGGAGACTCTTGTGTGTCTGTGAATTCCTGGATTATAAAAGTTGTGATTCTTACGTTTGCTATGATATTTCTAACATCTATTATTGTGTGTGGTAGGTAGAAGAGTTTAAATAGGTATTTGTTAAACTGGTTGAATTAAATCAAGAAGTAGCATTAGAGTCATGGGAGAGCTAGATTTGTTTGACTGAGTCCTGCTGTATCAGGACAGTAAGAATTAAGTACCAAAGTCTTCCTTAAATTTAGTGCCTAGCTGTGTTCTCTGGGTGGGAAATAGTTTATTTGAGGGGCATGCATAGAGAGGAATATTCCATTCTATTCCATTAATTCTTTTGCCCATTCTCAATTTTTCCTGACATTATTTTGTGCTGTTCACAGCTCCTTGGTACAATCAGAATAAAAAAGTGTATTTTGCTTTGGTCTTAGTCTTGCTCCTAAGGGAAAAATCAGTGTCCTGTGTTTTCCCAAGGAGATGCTATCCCAGGACACTTTCCCCAAAGGACTGGAGCTCTGATTCATCCATTTTTTAAATTTCTTTCGATTGCTTTGGTTTTATGTCATTTCCACTCTTGCTAAATGTTAATGAAATACATGCAGTAAAGAAATACATTCTAGAGGACAAGAAAGAGCAGACCTCATGGCTATTTACTCAGCTAGCAATGATTCTGCTTTTCAGTACCCTAACATTCCCCAGTTTGAAGCTTGCTCTCCATGACAGCTTTCTGTTCACAATTGAGCTGCATACGAAAACGAGTGCCACCCTTCCTTTGCAGTGTGACAAATCTCTGGCGAGAGGATGATGCTAATTTCTCTGACCATCTCTCTAGTTTAGTGATCCCTCTCCCACCGTTACCAGGATTGTCTGAAAACATACAGCTGTGCAGATTATTGGACTCCTGATGCGAAAAGGGGCAACATTCAATGTTTGTTTCTGAATACTTCCTTTTGTTTCGTTTCCTTCCAATACCAACCCATGTACTTGAACTTGAGTTTGCTAATGAGGAGCCTACCAAGGTTCTGGACTTTACCTAGATGATACTTAATAAACTTTTATTATTTTCTTACTGGGAATCTTTACATATCCTCATCAGAGACCACAGGAGTAATGCTATTATTAAAGAGAATTGGGGCTTCTTGTAAACATTCTGGAGAGTCCTTGACCTCTTGAAAAGGAAGGGCCCCCTGTTCGGCTTCCAGCTGCTGAATCCTCCTTTCCTTTTCCTCTAAAACTTCTTCCAGCTGAGTTATTTTCTCAGTCTGAAGGGAAACCTGAGTTGACAACTCCATAATCAGGCTAAATTTTCGATCACCTTCTTCCACAGTTCGGAGATTGCCACAGGACTCTTCTGGTGAGCTGCCTTCTAAAGCAAACAAGAAAAGGAAAATCTGAGCAGTTTTAATTGAATTTCTCAGAACTCAAAGAGAGAGAAGATGAAAAGCTTCATTTCTCACGTTCTTAAAAGAGAACACAGATGTTGCGTCATCTGGTCAGATATACTGAGAATGGAATCTGAATCCAGTGAAGGGAGATTCTGGGTGTTCATGAAAAAAGAACTTGGAAGCCTCTGGAGAGGGAGGAAAATCAGTCTTTGCCAACTCTTTTTTATACATATTTAACTTTCAATTAACCATGGGAATGGGCTGTCCTTAAAAACCCAATCTACAAATAACAGCCATCCCAATTTTCATGTTATCTTTTTCCCTAAGAATCTTTCACAAGAGCTATAATCAAGTAGAAGTATGCTTTAATTTGAATTTTAATTAGACTGGAAAAAAAAAAGAAAAAGAAAAAGGTCATTGCTCTTCGTGGGAGAAGTGAATGAGAAAAGACTAGTTTTTTAACTTGAGTCTGCTTTAGAGTTGGCAGGGGTGTAATTTGAGGTGATTTAGGAAAACTATTAGCATATGTCCCATAGAGATTCATTTTTTTAGGTCTGAAGTCTTTTCACCATTTCTTAATAAAATTACCAATACTTCTTGGAAATAATAGCTTATCCTTTATCAATTTCTATCAGCTAGCCCCTCAGATAAGGATAAAGCCCTGAATGAGGAAGGAGACAGAGGCTCCAACAAATAGATGAAAGATTGGTGGCTGGCAGCAGGGAACCCTTGAAAATAAACTTCACTTAGACCATCACAAATTTTAGCTGCTGAAAGCAAAGCCCATTCTACTAGATTTAGCAGTACCATCTTCCTTACCACTCTTATTCTGAAATGTCCGCCATTAAAATCACTTCTCTGAGTTATGTAAAAGGCAGTCGTCAGCTATTAGAAGGAAGGGGCATCAGAACTTGGGTACAATTGTAGGAACAATCAAGCCAAAAGCATATGGATGAATCTGACACACGGTCTTGACAGTTGGTTGCTCCAATGAAAGAAGGTTCAGCATTTACTCAACCCCCAGTGAAAACAAACCCCACAGCTACACTTGAGAGAAACCTAACCGTTAGTCCAGGATACAAAAGCCTGCTACTATTGTGTACTTACGCACCTGCTAAGGATGGGACAGTTTTGCTGTGATAGTCCATGCAGGCAGGTAATCACCCATTTCTCAGCAAATAAGACCAATTTGCAGTCATCACTTTCCTGAGGGATCACAGAGTGAAAGTTTGTGCACTGAATTGCACAGTGGGCAGGATGCTTTGGCCTCACAAAAATGACGAGGGGAGAGATCAGACTTTGCTCTTAGAAATTATTACTAGCAATATACTACCTTTCAAGAATCCATGGAGAATTTTGTTCTTAACATTTGAACTTCTAACTATTTAAGGAGATGGCGGTTAGTATCTTTCTTAAAAAGCAATGAAAACAATCTCAGATCTCAAAGGAGCATTTAGTTTGTTGTCTCTGCAATAGGTCTGTGCTTTTAGGCCCTGCATGGGGAGTCTATATGGTGGCAGGCCTTACCCATCTGCTGGTATGCCAGGGCCTCACCTTTCCTTTCATCTGTGCAGGGCTGTGCTATCTAATATGATAGCCACTAGCTATATGTGGCCATTAAGCAATTGAATGTGGGTAGTCTGAACTGAGATGTGCTGTAAATATAAAACACATATTTGATTTGCAAGACTTAGTTTGAAAAAAATGTGAAATATCTCATTAAATATAAAAAATCGATTAAATATTAAAATGATAGTATTTGAGATACATTGTGGTAAAATATATTTTTAAAATGAACTTCACTCATTTGTTTTTAAATTTTAAAAATACGGCTACTAGAAAATGTAAAAAATACTATTTGTGGCTCTCATTATTTTTCTACCGAATAGTACTGGGCAAGGGTTTCCTTTTAAATGAACACTCTGAAGCCAAAGTGGATGTGTTCCTTGTATATGCCTTTAATTAACATGGACAATTGTTATTTGGGAGGGAGGATCACTGATCCTCAACCATTAACCATCATCTTTCTGTTACCCCAGAAGATGGAGGCAGGGAAATCTGGGCTTGGGAGAATAAATTCTTGTGGGTTGAAGTGAGTTTCAATAGGAAAGGAAGGAAAAGATGAGCAGTGGCAGCAGGAGGCAGTGGGAAGATGTTAAGGAAAGGAACGGCGTGCAGGACGGGAAGGCTGGGCTTGGAGAAGCGCAGGGACGGAGGGCTTCCTCAGGAGCTTCTTGTATGTGCTTGTCTGTCACCTTCTCTTTTTGACTTCTCCTTCAGTTTTCTCTTTCCTCAGTTTCTCTCTTCTTTTCAGAAAAAGTTATTTCGACCAGTTTGCACAATGAGGAAAAGAGTTTAGTGTCATTCCAGAAGGCAAACTGGTCACAAGTTTTTTTGTTTTAAATAATGCAATATGAGTATAATACTTTCTTCATCTAATTCTAACGATAAAGGGGCAAAAATGCAGCAGGGTGGTATTACATAGGTAATTATAGTCACTAGGTCTCCATCCTCTGTCTCTGCCCTCTCAGAAGACAGTAGTAGTAGAGAAAGAAAGACAGGGTATCTTGATCAGCTTAGGCTGCCATAACAAAATACCATAGACTGGGTGGCTTAAACAACAGAAATTTCTTTTGCCACAGTTCTGGAGCCTGGAAGTCCAAGATCAGGGTGGTCCAGTTCTGGTAAGAACTCTCTTCCTGGTTTGCAGACAGCCACTTTTTTATCATATCCTCACATGATGGAGAGAGAGAGACCACAAGTTCTCTGATGTTTCTTCTTATAAGGGCCCTAATATTAAGAGGGCCCCATCTTCATGACCTCATTTAAACCGAATTAATTCTCAAAGGCACCATCTCCAAATACTGCGATGTTGGGGGTTAGGGATTCAACATATGAATGGGGGTGGGGGCACAATTCAGTCCCTAGCACAGGGAGAAGACAATTGGAAAAGGAGTAGAGAAGGACGATGAAGCTGAAAAAGGAGAGATGGCATGATGTCTTTGATTCCTACTCTATTGCTTTTATGTATTAAATAAAAATGTTGATAAAGAGATAAGCTAAAGAATATATACACCAAAAAAGAAATTTCTCGCACAAGTACACTTTACTATTAAATGACTTCTTTACACATAAAACAAAAATATTATTGTTCCGTTTCTAAACACATCACAAATATCAAAAGGGTTTTAAACACTTCAACAAAGTGGGGACTCCAGCAGTCTTACATCCTATTTGTGTTGGAAATAGCCCAGGGCCACAGTTTTCCAGATTCTACCGGTAACCTTCACATGACCTGTTCTGAACTACTCTCCCCTAGTTCAGTCTCCCTCATCTGGAAGGTATGTGTGTCCCTAAGGTCCTGACAGCTCTACGTGTCCCCAAATCTCAAATACCTGTGCTCTTTCCTAGACTTTCACTAGCAGCTCAGATATTCTTGCCAGGGACGTGGCTGCTTGAGGTATGAGGTTTTGTCATCTGAACAGATAATCTAAAGTTTAATCCCGTACCTAGAGGCTCAAGGAGAACCAGAGACAAGAGAGATTCCTCTTATCTGTCAGAGAAAGAGGGCAAATCTGATTAACCACAGTCAACATATGAACCCATTAAAATTGCTGCTATTGTGGAGGTTTTTACAAGCACACACCAGTTTTCATAATTTCTCTTCTTCCTGCTTCCACTTAAAATAGGTGAGAAGCAGGAGTGAGAATGAGGGCTTAGGGGCACGGCAAAGAGGAGACGGGAGAAGGGGTGGTGGTAGCTGTGCAGGTCTAGAAAGGTTTAGAAAGAAGACAGATAAGAAGAGACTTTTACCTGCAGCAGGGCCAGGCTGGGCTCACTTTTCTATGTCAGCTTTGAAAGATGAAAGGCCCAGAAGAAATCATGACATTTGCCTTTGGCCATTTCCAGATTCTCATTATTCATACCCTAAGTTCCTTTATGCTCTCAGCAAAGTGCCACAGGAGAGTTATGTCAAAAATGACAACAGAGTTCACAGCAGAGGTAATTATAGTTTAAGGAGTAGCTTAGAAATTTAGAGTTGGAATGTGCATTTTGGGAGTGATTTGGTCTCACCTGTATAGGAATTATTTCTGCAATGTCCCTAATTGATGATTTTCTAAGCGAGTGTCTCTCAGACATTTGTGTCTCCCAAGCTCTTCATAGGTCAGCTGCCAATTGTAATCAATGAATAGAATTTGCCTTTTGCCATCATGCAGCTCCATGTTGTTATAGAGATATCGAATAGAATTGGAAGGTTGTGATGGTCAGACTGTGAGGAGAGCAGGCTACAACTTGCTAATCAGAGAAAGGAGATGTGAAAATACAACATATGAAAATACTGCCTGGTGAATCCGGGAAGTTAGTAGCTTACTGTAAACAGATCTACTGTGCCGAAGGGTGGCCCAGTGAATGGCTAGAAAGCTTTTTTTAGATTTTCAAAATACTTATTTCTAAAAAGGGTGTTCCATTTTAATCCCTTCACTCATGCTACAACCCAGAAGTGTTCACTCAGCGGAGAATGCTGAGAACCACTGATCTCATTTCTGATTAAAACACCTCTAGCAATGGGAAGCACACTTGTTCCCAGTGTGGTCTCAAGCATCCTCCATGGTCATCTTCTTCATTTGTTCACTTGGTAATTTGTCACTGGGGCATAAGAACACACATGGAGGATGAATCAGATGCAGTGCTGGCTCCTACGGTCGCAGCTCCACAGTTGTGCAGGAAAGAGGCAGCACTGAGTTAGGCCCTACAGGACATTCAGGATTTAGCTTAAACAAACACCTCTGCTGGGTACTCACTTGTGAACGTTTACTTTTCTCTCTGCCTTCCAAACTAATGACCAAGATTGCCAGCTATTTACTTGAGAAGAAAGACTCTTACCGGTGAGGTGATTAAATATCTCATTCCACCAGAGCCACCCAGGATTACTGTTTGACCTAAAAGACTATGTCAGCTTCCTCCTCTGTACAAATGCCCA